CAGATACACTAAAAAATGTTTTAACTAATGACAGTACATCGCGGCATGGAGCTTAAAGCCTCTTATCTGCTCCATTGTCACCTCCATTCATGAGACATTATACTTATTACACGTTTGCTTTGCTTATTTTCCTTTGCTTTCTGGATAAGTTTTGTTTTGTTATAGGAGGCCATTCAATATTTATTAGGCATGTTAAAATTTGCAACAACTTTTCACTTTATACATTCTGGTGGAGAATACTGTCAAACTTGTTGAACATTACAATGATTTATTATATTTGATAGTGCCTGAAAACAATAAAATCTAGTAATCCAGTTGTTGAAATGATGGGCACTATGGAGAACATCCATTAGGCACAAATTGGACAGGCAGTACATCCAAACTCCTGCTTAATTGGATAGAGGTTGTTGGAATTTATACAACTTTAATGTTTATCTCACTAAAGTAGAAATTCCATTGTACTATTTTCCTATTCCAAATATTTTAATGCTACTTCAACAGAGATCCCAAATTTTATCCTGAGAAACATTCTCATGTGATACCAAGAACATTAGGCAAAACAAAAGAGTTTGAGATTAAAAACAGTGAGAAAGGGGTGAATGGAACATGTTTCTATCTCAGAGTTTACAGTGTGGGGATGTGCATGGAAATCTCCAGGAGGAGTGAGAGTCAGCAGTTTTCTTCCAGTTATTTCACAGCAGATTTTTTTTTCTTTATTGAGGTACCATTGGTTTACAACACTGTATTTGATTTAGGGAAATAGCTTCATGGCTTCACAAAAGACCTTTATTGATAAAGGGTTTGGTGTGCAGAGAAGAATTTGGGAAGAGCTGATGCATCAGAATTAAATCCATAGTTTCCTGTTGGTATTCAAGGTCGGTTACTGTTCCTTCAAAATTACCTTAGACTTCTTCCTTATGGATTCTCTGTAGGAGCCAGAATGGTAAACTACTGTTTCCTCAAGCTCAGCTCATGAGTTGCCAACTCCAAATTTTGGTAGGTATCTGTCCCTAGCCTAGAAAATTTTTCTTTTCTCCATTTAGAAAATTCTAACCACCTCTCAAGATCGATCTCCTTTCTGACTTCCTCTAATTATTATCATATTTATCACATTTACTTTTAATCACATAAAGCTTTTTTTATTTTTCTATTTCAGCATGTGTGTGTGTGTGTTTTCGTGATAAGACAGTGAAATCTTTGGGACCAGTGACCACATACTTTATGTTTCTTTGGTGTTCTACCTGAATGTGATGTGATATTGTATGATTGTAATCATTATTTAGTTGATTCATGAATGATTGGATAAACATTTGGGTATCATAGATACTCCTCACAGCGAGGAAGAAGTAAACCATTCTCTAGAGGTAATAGGCAAACTGGAGAGATCTAGAAGACAGTTTTCTTGTTTAATTAGGTAGCTTTCCACTCTGAAGACATCTAATTATTCATCAATACTTTGACTAAATCATTTATTTTCCATTTGTAGAGAATGAAAAATAGAAGAAGAAAAGAAATTTGGGGAATGCTGAGGAAGAGGTAAGTGTAAAACCATAAATTTCAACATATAATAAAAGAAGGAGGCATAGTATATATGTACAATGGAATACTACTCAGCTGTAGAGATTAGATCTTGCAATCTTTGACAACATGAACGAAATTGGAGGGGGTTAGGCTAAATGAAGGGAGTCAGAGGAGACAGATACCAAATGAATTCATTCATGTGGAATATGGAAAACAAAGCAAAGATAGTCAAAATTAAACCAAAACAAACCTAGAAACTGGACTGTAAAATTGAGGCTACCAGAGAGGGGGAGGGAGGAAACAAAGAGATGAGGGAGTATAATGGACTGTGATGAAATTTAAAAAAAAAAAGGAAACGAAAATAGAAACACAATGCTGAGCCATCTTGGAGCTATCTAATGAAGTGGCTAAGCTTCTCCAGGACAAAAGGATCAGAAGAGAAAATATTTTTTTTTTTTTCCGCTGAAGGGCATTTGAGATAAAGATAAAAAGTTGGTTACCCTAAAAATTACTAACTGCAAACAATATTACAGTTATCTATCTATATTTGCTAATAGTTTTCTGCGAACAAAAATACCTTCACATTAAAAAATTTTGCTTCACTTTTCTTTAGGAGACGTCAACTATCTTCAGGCCCCAATTCCTTACTATATGTGATGCTTATTTTTCTTATAGCAATGAAAATTATTTTAATAAAAAGTATCATTTTACATATATTCTCCTTTCCACTAGGTTTTAAATCATAGTTAGTTTCTCTTTATTCTCCTGAAATGGTATTCCAGAGTTGGAAATCTATTATTCCAATGGAATTGACATGGACTTGGGAAGTTTCTCAATTCATTTTAAAGTACTAAAAATGGCAATTGAAACAACAGAATGAAATCCTCTTCTGAAAGTTACTTTGTAAAGTAAATAATGCTACAGATTGGTGTAAAAGTAAATATAAAACTACAATGCCAGGAACTGAATGCTCTGGAAACATCTATTTATTTATTAACATGAAGGCCACTGTGGCCCAGGTTTCTTCAAGATCTCAAACATTTTTACTGGTGCTGAAATTCTATGATTTAATGAATTAAAGGAACTGTTGCTTCTACTTTTTAGGGTATGCTCATTTACTTTTTCAAAAATGATTATACTATCACTAAAAGACACATGGAAAATTAATCTTTCCAATACGATTGCAGCAGGTGGTAATAGTGGATAAAATGGGTATGTGGCATGGCAAATCACTCCTCCTACCACCATCATGCCATACCACACATATCATGTGTACATCTGGTCAAAAGGATGCAGCAAAGGAGAGAAGCACTTTAGTTCAGAAAACAGCTGAATGAATTTGAGGGGACAGCATCTCACTGGTCATGCTCCTACCTCCATTTATAAGTAAATTCTGATTAGAGCTGTTTTGAATTTCACCATTCCTAAACATTTCCCATTGATACAAAAGAATGGTAGCCTTTTTTTTTGTTTTGTTTTAAAATAAACCTTTCATATGTGTTTTTAAAAATCAGCCTGTAGTGTGATCTCAAAGATCAAGGCAAAACCCCATACTTCCCCCTAGTGATCAAAGTTTGATGACCTCCAAATAACAAAAAACATAATAAGTGGACTTTAGATCACAAGAACAAAAAAATGCCCAGAAGCTACATAAGTCACGGCTGGTGTTCTTTACTCAGGATCCTTTTTATGATGGAAGAAGAAAGCACAGGCTGTCAAGAGGCAGCAACTTCCAATTCCTTGGTCTGAAGCCTCAGTCTGAGTAACCAAACAAATAAGTTATATCTATACACATACACTCATATATATATTTGTACATTTACATACACACACACTCAGGAGAAAAGACAGAAAGCCAGAGGGTGGGGCAAGCCTTAAGGAAAAAGATTTGAAGAAGGAAATAAAAGAGAAGGTCAGAAGCAGAAATTCAAACTTGAAATTAGTCATCAGGTAGCTCACACAATTGGGTGTCCCATGGCAAATGGTTTCTTTAACAATTACTTGATTCAGTGATAGAGACTATTTTAATAGATGATATGATCGCGAGGTATAAGGGATGTTCTTTTTTCTCATAGTTGAAAAATTCATTACTTCATTTCCAGAACAACACCATCACCACAGATCAAGACAGCACTCTGAAGTGCCTCAGTCATTCACAAAGGTATCAACATATTCCACAAAATTTTTAAAAATTCATTAACTCAGAACCCATTAATTTAGAATTACTGATATCTTTTTGTAGAATATTCAGACTTTATCTCTGCCTGAAATTAGTACTACAAACAGGAAGATTCTTATTTTACTGAAGGAAGTCTTTTAATAGCACTTAAAACTGCTATTAGTTTTTTATGAAAGTATAGGTTTGATAACTTCGATTATTTTTTAATGGACATACATTGACTTACATGATCGATTTACATGATTCAGAGGCACATTTTCACACCTCTTCAGGTGTGAGTAACCACACCACACCCCACCAAGGCCCAGTAGTCCTCCACCAAAGTCCTTACTCTTCTTGAACATGGCTTTGGTTAACAGGCTTTCATTACGACTATCATGACCAACATCATCACTATCTATAAAGATGAAAAGACTTCAGAATGTTTAAACCCTAATGGCTGTAAAATCTGGGTAGGAACCTTCACTATCACCATGGTCTCTTCCATCTCTGATTCATCTTGCTTCATTTGACATTATCATTTCCCTCAAATGCAACCTGTATGTTACCACCCTCCAGTCTCTAAGTATTCAAAATGTTACGGAGGATAAATTACAAGAACTAACTATGGTAGTTGATATATATTCTCCCTCTTCTCTTCCAACATACCCTAAAAATCAGTAAAACCCACTTATTATTTTCTGATTCATCTGTGGTCTCTTTCCTTCATATACTTTCTTTATCTGAAGTTCTGAACTTCTGAATTCTTACTAGCACCTATGCCATCTTCTCCAGGAAGCCTCTCTTGCTCTCCCTCCTCAGACTCAACCACCAATGCCAGCTCTCAGCTTTGTCCATTCATCACAACTGTTTGCCATTTTCCAGGGGTGTTTCCCAGAGTCTGCTCAGGATGAGCTACATGTAGAAACCTCCCTGATCCTGGTGGGTTGTGAATGTCCTCAGAGTAAGTCTCTGTGCCTTGCTCATTTTAGGGTCCCTTAAATACCTGCTACATACTTTAGTCACGGCGAGTTCCAAAACATGTTTCTAAAATTTTACGAAATAGGAAATGATTAATTTTGTTAGTTTCTAAATATTTTGATCATCTAGTCTCCTATATTGAGTATTTTAAAATAAAAGCATTAACTTGAGATACTAAAACACACATACACACAAACATACACAAACTCTGTTTCAGTACTATCACAAAAATGAAAGAAAAAAACACATTAAAAAATCCTTTTTTAAAAATAATTATATTTAAATGAATTATTCAAGGGAAAGAAACAATATAACTGGTAATTACTAGTGTCTTCTCTTGTATTCCTTTTTCAAAAATAAACAAAAAGTGAAAAGGAGGTAAGTATCAAATCTGATCCTGCTTTGGAAGCAGTTTAAGAGTTTTTCTGGCTAAGACTCTAAATAAATCTGACATTATTATTATTATTATTATTATATCCCCTTATGAACTTTCTTAGGCTCACATTGAAATATTCAGGATGCTAACGACATGCCACTAAAATGAAAAAGTACCCAGGGGCCAACTTCTCATGTTGTACCCCTCTAAGAGACAACCCCTCTCTTCACCCTGAAATATAGGTACCTCGAGAGTGGAGGTATAATGCCAGCTACCACTTAGGACTTCTCAATAGTGTTACAGCACGAGGTGTAAAATGCAACCAGAATTGAAAGCTAGACATATTTCCAGCCTCTGCTCTAAAGTGTTATTTATAAGAATCCCCTGGGAATAATGAGAATTATATGCACAAGCCCCTGAAAATACAAATTAATAATTAGTGCTGAATTGTGAAAATAGCACCCATCAATAAGCACATACAGAAACCAAATTGCTTATAAAGGTGAAGGGATAATTCTTCTTTTCAAATAAATCCTCTGCTTGCAATCAGACAAATGGGAATTGCTTTATTTATATATATTATGCTCATGGCTGATAATTTTCTCTCTGACACATGGAATTGTGTGCATGTGAAATTTGGAAAATCAAAATTTATATACATTTCTATTCATTTTATGTCAGCATATTTTATTGAAGGTAAAATTTTTCTTTGCTTGGTATTTATTTAGGAGGCTGGTTATCTTTTACAGCAAAGAAACAAATACTATTTTAATATCTACAACAAATTCATTGTATTCTTAATATTCATTTACTCCCACACATATTCAGTGAAACTTGTTGAAGCCCATAATTTTTATTGATGCGTAAATTTTAGGTTAAGACAATTAAATTAATTCGAACCATGAATTCATATAAACTTTATATTTCACCACAAAATTCAGAATACTTAAACCTCTATCTTCTGGGGGAGGGGAAGAAATGAGTGTTTTCATAAAACAGTGGGGCTCACCTCTACATTATAAATGGACTGTTTTTCAAGGAGAGCATTGAGTTTGAATATGCCATTACTGTTCTAATTATTGTTTTGTTACCACAATTATTTACTGAATAATAACTGTAACTTACATTTGTACAACATGATGTGATGTTTTAAAAAAATCATGTATGCTTTTTTCATATATTCATTGCAACTCTACTTGAAAATGTGACAGTTCAAGAATCATATTTCATTTCACGAGTAAAGATATCAAAGTTAAAAGCAGTATACAACTTACCTAAGTCAGCTGTCAGAGAATGGAGGAACTGGGATTTGAACACGGCTCTTCTGATATCTCAGTTGTGTGTTTTTTACTCACGTTTTTGTTGGTGCAGAGAAAGTGATTACCTCTTTCTTTAGTGGAGAGGCCCCATTGTTGGTGCATTTTACCTTGAAGGGTAGATTTCCTAGGTCTTCCTTCCTAGGGTGAATACATGGTGCCATGATATTTTTGTTAATAAAGTGTGGTTTTTACCCCTGTATAATAATAAGAATCAGGGTTGACGTGATGGACATGAGACCCCCGTGTCACTGCACAGTGCCCTGCTTTGGTTTAACACTCTGGGGTTAAAGTTTTGATTCTTAAATAACAATAAATAAAAAACCAAAATTAACAGGCAACTATAAATCAGAGAAATTCTGCATGGGAGGGGGAGGGAGAGGATCAAAACAGGAGAGGGAAGCGTAAAAAGGACTATGATGATGGTGCATGGGTGAACTGGTGGTGGGAACATTACGGGGACTACACCTGTGAGGAGAAAGCAAACACTGTACAAAAATGACCAATGGGGGCCTCCCTGGTGGCGCAAGGGGTTAAGCACCTTGCTATGGAGCAATCCGCAGCCTCTGCAGCATGTGTTCATCCCTGGCCAGCCAGGGAGCAACCCTCATGGCACAGCAGACCTCTCCTGACTCGCTTGCTGCTCCCCTCAGCAGTGTGTTTCAGTCAATTTTCCTGTTCTGCTCCCTATTCTGTCTCTGGTGAATCCTCTCACCCCTCGCACCTCTGGCTTGCACCCCAACTCTTGTATGCATAAATAAATAAATATTTTTTAAAAAATTAACAGTGACGTAAAATATATATAAATAAATTTAAGATAAAATAAAGTTTGGATTCTTGGTAATGTTCAAACAAGGGGCCCTGCATATGTATTTTGCACTGGGCTCTAAAACATTGTCTCTAGTCTTGCCAAGAAACAGGTATCCATTTCCCAAAGACAAAAACTAAACTAAAATGATATAAAGCCATGCCACATTACTTTCTAATGATTTTACTAAATGCTATTGGTAGACCACTTGCTTGGAAACTATCAGTTATTACTTTACTATGACAAAAGTTCCCTGAAGAGCAGGAAAAGACAAACTCATTAGACATCTGAAGGGCGATGTTGGGGTAACAGCTGTGGGACTATATCAAAGGTGTCTTAGAGATTAAGAAAAACCTCATTATCAGTCAAATAACCCTAAAATACATTAATTATTTCTATATTTGTTTTCTATTACCAAATTGAGTTAATAATACAAGAGTTATGCATATAATGGTTTGATATCTGTCTCTAGGAACATAAGAAAACCAGAGAAGCAAAAGAATTTTTTCTTTTCATTTCATAATAAATGACTTAAATTTCCTAGCTAGCCATGATCGAGTTCAGACCATAAAGAAAACTAGATATCACTTTAACATTATAAATGTATGGCTTGATCTTACTTTCTAAGTTTTTGTGACACCACTTTTTATTTTCCACATTTGAGAAGAGAAATATGTGTTATTTCTTGATTTTTCAATTTCTTAAAAATATCACATTTTGACTCAGGTACATTTTTGTGTGTGTGTATTGTGTTTTGCCAAAGATGTCTGGGTAACTCCAGGAAGAAAACTAAATTCCTATAAAATGATAGATTCCTTATGTATCGCATCTGTCTAACCAATTGCAGTGTTCAACTCTTCACAGGCTCATTTTCTCATCTGGGACTTCATCATAATCAGCAGATTTATGTAAAATGTTATTGATACATGACTTCACATGCTGACCTAATTTAGGATTTTCAGGTCAAGAATTACATGTTCTCTCGAACATATTCTTCCTTCTGTTTGGATCACCCTTCAGTGCGCTGTACATCACGAACCCTCATCCTGCCCACTGACTTCCACATGTTCCTCAGATGTAGGGTCACTTTAGGGTGACTACCCCGAGAGTCATCCTGCATCCGGGACCAGATGAGGTATCCCAAAATATCTGAGCTTTCTCTTAGCATTGCACTTATCACACTATATATAATTGCTTGCTTAATTATCTTTTTGCATTTAAAAATGTCAACTATCATGCCTTAACTAATACTAAGTATATTTTAGAACCCATTTGTTGAATCGATGAATGAATGATGAGGTATAAGTATGAATAAAGTATGAATAAGTGAATCTTTGAAACATTTCCCAGAACACTAGTCCATTGATCACCAAATGATATTATACACTTAGAAGTAAAAAAAAAAATCTAGCCCTCATGTAATTGTTTTTGACTATTCTCCATTTACTCATTTAGCCGTAAGTTATTAAGCACCGACTGTGTTCTAGGAATGTTGCTAAGCACTGAATTTATAAGACAAGAGCATTATCCCGGGACTCTTGGAATAAGTTGCTTGGCCCCTTCTAATTACTGTTCAAACCCTGATCCACCCAGCAGATTAACACAGCAAGATAAATGATTGGAAAGACTTTTTAAACTTCTGTTAGGTTGTATGGTTTACTATCATTCACGTTGTAGCAAAAGGCAAGATACCATCTTTTGAAATAGCTAAGTAGTATTCCATCGAGCATATGTGACTGATTTTATCCACTTATTTATCTATGGTCACTTAGGCTGCTATGAACAAGTCAACTTTTATTTCTTAAACTACTCATGACACCCAGCCATGCTGTCAACATCTTGAATTTAATGATCCATGGAAATACATTCAAATTTCCCTCTGAAAAATGTCACCATAGGAAATGCCTGATTTGGGGCAGAAATGGTAAGGAAATTCAAGAGTTCGACAAATAAGTAAGACGTTTCTAAATCTAATGTGCAAGTGGGGTTTCAACAACTTACAAAAAGAAAAAGTATTAGTATTAAAAGAACAGCACTTTGCTAATGGCATTTATCAACTACCATTTATACCAGTTATTTCTCTGACATTGGGGAAGCAAACAAAATCAAACCTGATGCTTGGTACATGAGTACACCTTTCCAAAGATGCTCAGTCTCAGCACTGCACAATTATTACTTTGCCTTTCTAAACTTGTGCTCCCACATTTGTGGCCACATTCATTCTATTCGCCTGATAACTGGTTTTCCTGTATTTTGCATTGGGAATTAAGCAAAAACAATCGGTTTTCTGTATTTTCACATTTTCTTTGAGATGGCAAGGAAATCTACACTTTAGACAAAGATGACTGGAAACAGAATCAAAGTAGCTAGCTAATTTATTAAGTTCTTTCTAACATTATTATGTAGCTACTACATTATCAAAAAAAAATCTAGGCCTTAGACATAAAACTACATACATTCATCTGCTGACTGTAAATGGAGTACATTGCAATAAAATAATGGAATTTACAGTCAGACTATATGGGTTTAATTTGGGATTACACTGTTTTAACCAGTTTTTTGGGTTGTGATGAATAAGCATGAAAAATAAAATCTACAGCCCTACAGATATCTCCATTATTGCCTATGGGCTAACATCATTTCAGTTTTCACTGTTCACAAACACTTTCCTCAATACTCAGTCTATCAATAATCTTGCGGGTTTTTTTCACCTTTCTTAATTTATCAATTATTAATTAACGAGCATGTTACAAATAAATAATGCTTATTTTGGTTGAAAGAAAACCTACAGAACACTTTGGTAACAAAAATGATTGACATAACAATAGAACTCATCCACTTTTGGAAAGAAACATAGATGGTATTCAAGAGTACCAGTAACTTATTGCCCAAGACTTAGGCCAATAAATGAGGAATATGAAATCAAAAGAGAATATTACAAGAAGAGTACAGTTATCCCAAGTGGACATTGATAAGACACTATTGTCTTTCTTAAACACAACAAAGTATCTTTAACAATTAAAAACCTTTGTTTGAAAGCTTCTCCCCCTCACCCCCCACCTCATCCAATAGGGTAACCATCCAGGGCACTAGCATACTTGGTGCCCATAGCTGGGAAAGAGCGCCACCTGCTGCAGCTTTGTCAAAGTTCTTTCTCCAATGTGAGATTTCTTTGGGGGGGGGGGGGAGCTGTTGACAAATTAAGCTTTGTTGACAAATTAAGCTCTTTGCTGTTTTAGCTCCATCATCTGATGAGTTCTACCAACACAGTGAGTATAGTTCCAGAGAATGAATAATAGTCTAAGATAGCCAATAGCAAAACTAGTAACATCAGATCAATGTATTTAAGCTTTGTAATACAAAACACTGAAAAAAAATACGTATTTGGGTTGATTGCATTTTCTTCCCTGGAATTCTAGCTTTGCCATCCTACATCTTAGTGACATGAATTTGTCTCCCTTTCTTATTTGAATAACTTCCTGTGAGTTTTGATTATCTTCCCATCATGAAGAAGCAATTCTTCTTTGAGTTGTCTTCATTTTTTAGATATTGGAAACCAAGGTTTTCACATTTGGAGGATAGGAGTCTGGTGAATCTTAAAGTAGTATTTTCTCAGCAAATCAATAGAAGACATTATAAAGTGAACTCACATCACCTCCTCTGTTTCTGCTTTTTGCATTTAGAGTCCACTGCAGAAATAAACTGCCTCACAGCCTGAAGGAGATTATCTCTCTTTCTGAAGAGTTGCAGATGAAGGGAGAGGTTAATTGGATATTAGCAGATACCTCAAAATGATGTTTCTGTTTCAATTTGGGCCTCCAAAGGGTAGAGAAGGAAGGAGACTAGTGTCAATTTCTTTTTGAGAGAGACTGATGTTTGGGTTAGAAAAATAAAGCTTTTCTAAGGTGTCTCCCAGTGGCTAAGGATTTAAAACCATAATTACTCAGAGATATTCAATGATGCCTAAGTTCTAGTTCAGGAAATTTTATGCTATTGTCACACATGATTGGAGGGTAGAAAAAAAAAGAACACAAAGAAAATTTTAAACTGAGCTTTAATTTATACTACAAAGAGTATATTCTTCACAAATTATGATATTTCTGATTGAAAAAGAAAATCAGCCATTACCAACCAGTATGTGATCAGATTCACAGAAAGTCTTTTTGATTAGGCCTCCCCAACTTGTAACTTCGGATAGACTCAATTTTGCCTCTTGATTTTTGTGGCAAAATCTGAAAATACGAAATTTGGTGACACCACTCATGTTATGCTGCTAACAGTTACACAAAATATCTTTGTTTAGGGACCTAATAAAATTGGTCATATAAAGAGG